TGGACCTCCAAATCACTTAGGTAGTTAATCCAAACATACTTTTAGTATATACTACAACAGATTCCCACCTGCACCAGTTATTCTTACTAATTAACTCGACAAAGGGTCCACATTACACATTACATCACATTATTTACACAATACATTAGTCCCTCCCCTCACATGTTTCCTTCCTCCTATACACATTAATAACAATTAACAAGCGGCCGCTCAAGGGCTTTCAAGAACAGAGCAAAGACAGCCTCAAATAAAATTGAACTTATAATTTTAAAGGGTCCAATACTCTATCCTCAATATATTTCAATAATCAACCCTAAAATGGGTTACAAATCATACAAAATTCTTGAGCACTTCGAGAGGCCAAGAACCCTCCCTCTCAAGGATTATCTCCTCAAGCCTAAACCATACTAATCACGGCCTACCGCCCCCTTTCTCCTTACTATCTTTATAACAATTCTCCCTAACAATTTCTCTATCTAATTACTAACCTACCCTTATTATTCTACTAATAACCCTAAATACCCCTAAAGGCCATTTCTAACAGAAGACCAACATGACTACGTCAAAGCATTCACATCACATCCATGACATTATGTCCTGTTGTGATTTGTTAAACTTATTTAACACAATCCTCTTTTTATGTTTTCATAAATGACCAATGGTTAAGTCACTGTCGTTTATCTATATAAACATTACCTCATAATTGAACTTGCGCTTGTGAATTGGCTTGAACTTCCTAACGTCTAGTATTGTGAGTTCATCATCCTGCAAAATGATGTAGAAAACAGTGAGAATTGAAATGGTCAAGTACTTCCACAGGGATAAAAATTTTCAAATGTACATTACAGAAATAACAAGTCTGAATTGGCTTTATAATGCACAAATTTCACCCTAGAACATACCCTATTCCCAACAGCTACGTGTGTCCCGTCAGGTTTGTAGGTGATGTTGATATTTTCCCCACTGAGTTCAACTTGCTGTGAGCATTTCCCACCTACCGGACAGAGAGAAATTACGAACCATATTCTAAACTTCAATTAGATCGGTACTTCAGAAATCTCAGTTCAAATGCTTACTACGAGCATCCCATAGTCGAACAGTCTTGTCCCCAGAAGCAGTTGCTATAAGATCAGAATGTTTAGGATCCCAACATAGCTGATCTACACTATCAGTATGCCCTTTCAACTCAACATCCTTAACCTTACCCTGAAGCAAACATCATCTGAGATGATTGAAATGATTTGTTTCAGGGTAGTAAGTAAATACATAAAAACAAGACAACACTGAGTGTTATGGTGGAACAGCATCGTGGGAAAACAACCAAGTCCTATAAGGTACCAATGATAAATGATGCAAATGGAACATACAAAAATATACACAACTAGAGAGTTATGCACGCTGTACCCCCTACTTTCAAGAACTTAAACGCAAGAGCTTAAGAAAAAAGGAAAGTAGGCAATAGAATTAAGCTGAAGCTTTCTTTAACTTCATTCTTCAACGAATAAAAACCGGAGTGACCAAGGCTTATCCTCTTTCCTTAATAATTTAAAAGATCATGTTGTCTCTCGGAATTGGCCTTACAGCGGGCAGAGCCTCCAGAGGAAAGCCATGAGAGCATGGAGCCCAGTGTTTTCTTACTTCAATTAAAATCTATTTCGATAACTTCATTCATGTGACAACTAGGAAATTCGTCCATACGCAGCTAAATTTTATCAGCAAAGAAAGTTGAGCGAGAGACAAAAAGTGTTAGAGATCGTGCTAGCCAGTACAAACTCCAAAACGCTACTTGTGTAAGAGACAAATATGATTTAGCGAGAAAAAGAAAACCCACAGGGAGAACGGAATAAAAGACAAGTAGAAACGAATTTGAGTACAAGATTCCACAAGAGAAACAACGAACTGACAAAACACCACGAAGAGAAACAAGTGCGATAAGAAAGTATACATGTCCATGAGGCTCAATGTGCCAAACTCGAGCAGTTTGATCCACAGAACCGGAAGCAAGCTTCATGCCCGTGCAATTCCATGCCACAGAATGTACCTTGAGAAGATGAAATTTAAGATTAAAACAAGAATGAATCGCAATAAAGAAGAGAACAGCAGGCAGAGGCGCGGAGGGATTTGATAAAAACCTTCTTCTTGTGACCTTGATACTCTCTGCTCTGAAGATTCTTAAAAGGTAGGGCAGCTTCTTCCATGGCCTCCTGGAATCGGACAATTTCAAATCCAGCGATTTTTGTTCATGAGAAGACCCATTTTGCGTAGGGGACTAATTGCCCTCGCAAAATTTCACATTCGATTAATAATACTTCATAATTCTTAAAAATTCATTTTTCCTCGATAAATTTGGTAAGATTCATCCGTTTCACTCAAAATTTCATTTTTTTTTTTTTACTGCAACAACATGGTGAATCCGTGATTTACTTTTGCCCTTCATCTTTTAATTTCATCTAATTAATTTATGCGCTAAGTTTAACAAAAATAATAACATAAAGATTTTGAAAAACTCACTTATTCAATGAAAATAAGTTTGGTGCACGATCATGTACTTCATTTCTTTCTTTCTTACTAAGTTAAGTATAGTTGAGTTTCCATTTTATGAAAATATCAATAGAAATATATTAAACCGTGTTCGGTTGATTCTAAAATTAAGGAGAAAAAAAATTATTAAAAAGTATTTAAATTAATATACAGGCATTTCCCACCTTTAATTAAGTTTAGTTAAAAATCTTATCATTAGTATTTATGTTTGCATTAATGATATATTTTTTTAATTTTTTTATGAGCTAAATACATGTTTTAGTCCCAAATATTGGAGTGTTTTTTAAATTTAGTTTCTAATATTTAAGAATTTTTTCAAATTAGTCCATTGCGTTTTAATATTTTCCAATTATACCCTTACTTATAGTGAACATTCATTAAAATTGAGAGATAATAACTTAAATGATACTTGGTGAGTTAACAAAATTTTTTATGAAAAAATAAGCCGCTCAAGAGATGAAATTTTCTAATATCTTCTCCAAATCTCTTAAAAGCTAGCATGAATTTTCACTTATCGTATATAGCCTAAATTTATAATTAAAAAAATGTTAAAATGTAAGAGGATATACTAAAAAAAAACTTTAAACAATAAGAAAAAAATTGAAAAAAATCCTAAAACATTCAGGATAAAAAAAATATATAGGTTTTTGCAACTTTTATACATTATTATCAATACTTTCACTGTGTAATAGAACTATTATCATAAATAAATATATCACATTATCGATACTTTAAACAAGCTCGGACTACTTAGAATCATAATTCAAAAGGTCAATGACGTTATTGAAACATTTTAAAGCTTACGGTCTAAACAAACTCGAACATTATTAGTTTGGTTCGACTTTGTGATATTAATGCAAAAAGAGGAGAGAAGGAAAAAAAACAGTCCCTAATATTGTGAGCAAGTTAAAGAAATCCAGAGAAAATTCAGACAGTAAAGCTCAACAAGTTGGCATGGAGAAAAATCATGAACAAAAACATTCCCCACATGAAAAAGGCTCAAGCTTGGCTTTCTCCAACATCACTTCAATTATATCAATCAGTACTCCTACTCTTCACAGTACACAGTATTTACATGGAAAAGCATTGACAAACCATTGTTATCCTTACTTTCACTACCCTACCACGGTTTCACCATCATCGAACTAACAACAACTGGAAAAAGGATATTCCAAGATTTCATGTTTCATTCCTCCTCCTCTCCGTCCTCATTCTCGCCGAGTCCGACCCAACGGGTGAATGCGAAAAGAAACTCTTTAAAGTTTACCATTCCATTTTTATCCCAGTCCATCTCCTCTGCAATGTCAAGTGAGTGAACAAGCTCAACCATTAATCCACTGATGCAGCAATCAGTATACAAATGGACAGACCATATAGTTTATGAGTGTTACCGAATCTCTTCATCGCTATCCGTCCTGAAGAGCGTTCTCCGGATGTGGTTTCGTGTATTGCAGATACCATCTCACTCTTGCTTACATAACCGTCCTTATTCTTGTCCAAGAACACGAATGCATCAACCAATGACTCAAATGTCTCCTCCAGTTTTGGCATTCCGAATTGCGATTTCTGTTGAAGTCAAGGAATACGAAAGAAAAGAAAAGAAAAGCACACACATAAAGAATGAAGCAAGAAACTTTCTGAATAGAGAAACGTTATAAATCGAACTGTCCGGATACAGCAAATACAGCAGCAGTTGGATCATCCCTGAGAAGATATACAAGGGAGAGAAGTACAATGAATTCATTGAACTTCACTCCCATAGCTGTACTAATATCGCATGCCTCAAAGAGATCATCAATTTCCTCCTCGGTAAGCAAAATTTCCAGCCCATCAAAGCATTTCTTAAGCTCCCGACGGTCAATTATCCCGTTTGAATCCTCATCTACAAATAAATCATAACTTCTAAGAATTGTGTTGAGTGTAAGATTCAATTAAACTCAGGTTCAAACCACCTCGGGCTGTAACATAAACTGTGTAGAGTGTACTCACCAAACTGTTGAAAAGTAGATATGCAGTTTCTGAAGCTATCATCAATTTTGGGGAATTTCAAGATGATGCTATCAAATGACCTAATGATGCTTCCTTTAGAGGCCCTTTGTATCATTGCCTCAACCATCTTGGCTTCAAGTTTTGTTTCTGGCACACAATCCCTGGGAGACTCGTACTTTCCCACAGCACTCCCCATTTGCAACAAACTTCACAACACAAAATGGGCTAATGCTAGGGAATCAATCAACCAACAATCTCTCTCTCTCTCTCTGCCCACACAACAAACAATCAGTCTACACCATATAATAAAAAATTAAAGAAAGATAAAGATTATCAATTCATAGAGAAAAAGGGTTTAGATTCTCCTTTAGTATCTAAGTTATTTTACTTTGATCTCTAAAGTTTCATTCAATCATTATACTGAATTGTGCATAAAAAACAGTTTAGTCTCATTGTTAGATTCTTGTTGTTCAATAAAACCTAATATAGTCGTAGACACCTTTCTTGTTTACTTACCAGTTACCTATCATGATGAATGTTTGAAACTATATGAGTAGGTAAGATTCGAGTGATCAATGAAAACTATCGAAAAGAACTAAAAGAAAAAGATAAAGATTGTCAATTCATAGAGAAAAAAAGGTTTAGATTCTCCTTAGTATCTGAACTTTTAAAGTTACTTTTATTTGGTCTCTAAAGTTTCAATCATTATACTGAATTTTGCACAAAAAGCAGTTTAGTCTCCTTTTTAGATTCTTGATGTTCAATAAAACCTAATATAGCCATAGAAACTTACCAGTTACCCATCGTGAAAATGTCGAGTGATCCATGAAAAGTTATCGAAAAGAACTAAACTAGTTTTTCTTTTCTTCTTTTTTTTTTTTCCTAATGTACATATGAAATTGAGGATTAAAATCAAAACAATTGAAAGTTAAGGGAGGACACAAAGAAAGTCGAGGACCAAAACAAGAATTAAATCAAGAACAGGTGTATCTACACATGGACCAATAACGGAACCCTAGGATTGAGACAAAAAGAAAAAGGAAATGAGAGGAGGAAACATTACCCTGGAACCGGAAAAGATGGATCCGCACAAGCTTTTGTGACCAAAATGGGTTCTGGAGACTGGAAATCCGAAGAAATCCGGATGAAAACCGCGAGCAGTGAGCTTCGTCTCCTGGTTGTGGTTGAGGAATCCGAGAAGGCGAAGAACAAGAAGAAGAAAGAAAGAAGCGGCGAGCGCAGGGGTTGGATGAAGAAAACTGAAGACAGAAAACGGAAATGAGAATTCGGGCCTTCGATTTTGTTGCGATTATGGAGGAGACGAAGAGGAGTTTGGTGGAGGTTCGTTGGGAAGAATGAAGAATGGCAATGGCGGATTCTTTGTTTCTTTGCTGCGTCGTTGGATTCTGTAGCGCTTTCTGAGGTCCACCCACCACGTTTCTGTTTCTCTATCGGCCTCGCCTCCGTATTATATAATCACCATAAATTATAATTTATAAATTAATAATAATAATAATAAATACATCACATACAGTAATTAAACAACCTTTATCTTAGCGAAAGCCACGAAATCACCTGTGTTTTGACCTCTCTTTTTTATATTATGTAAAATGTCAATCAAGTTTATTTATTTATTTTAGTACGGGTGGGATCCAACTTACCCCCTCGGTGGGACATAATCGTAATTAATTATCATTTGTGACTAATAACATCGACATAGTTCAACGATTAAGACATTTTGTTGAAAGCTCAATCTTCACCCTCTCATTTCTTGCACTATAATATGATTAAAATAATAATTATTTTTTAATTTAGAAAAAAATATACATTTTAAATTTTAAATATCAAAATAGAACTTAAATCAATATTCGATGGAGGCAGAATTTTGGTAGAGAGACACATCATTGATAGCTCAACAGAAAGTCACCTGCGCATGTACCAATCCAACGGGGTGTAGTTCAGAGGCAAGTTCAGATAAGTTACTCAACAAATTACCAAACAAAATCACTCATGCAGTCGAACTTAATCCAAATGTTCAAAAATGTAACCGTACAACTATATTTTGCCCTTAATGCGTACTCACGCCTACAATCTCGAAAATAACCGTTAATTTGAATTCTTGGCACCAATGCTTATCCATACTTCATATAAATTCCTTGAAATTGAACAACGAAGGTACGCAAACTTTGATATTATAAATTTATTAAATTGAATCCTATCTTAGGAATGCTAACTCTTTTTTTTGCAGGATTCATCTCTTATCTTTCAGTATTCTTGGAGATCGTATTGTTTTAATTGAAATTCTTGATAAAAACAATATTTTATAAATAAACATAAAAAAAAAAGTAGTAAATGCATTTATGTGATATTTGTTATTATTTATAATTAAAAAACATTTAGACTCTGTGTCTGATAGTTTCATGAACTTAAAAAAAATGTTTAATTAAATTTTAAAATTTCAATGTTGTGTTTGATAGGTAATTTGATTTTTTTTAAATGTCTAATATGTTCTTATACTTTCAATTTTGTGTCTAGTCTCAACCCTATTAAACATTTTTTAAAATTCGAGGACCTATTATATAATTTTGTGTTTATTAGGTCCGGACTTGTTTAACTTTTTGTCTAATAGATCCCTAAACTTGTTCGGTTGAATAGATTCCTAAATTTTCAAGTGTTTAGTAAATCTTTCAACTTTCAATATGGTACCTATTGAAATTTTAGGTCTCTGTTTGATAACGATTTCGCTTTTGGTTTTCTATTTTAAAAAATTAAGCTTAGAAACATTATTTTCACAGATGTGTTCTTTTGTTTTGTTATATGGTTTTTGTAAAAATTTTCAAATTCTATGCCAAATTTTGAGAAAAAAAAAATCAAATATTTATTTTTGTTTTTGAAATTTTTCTAAGAATTCAAATATATTCCGAAGAGAAATGAAAAATTTACTAATGAAATTGTTACAAAAAAAAATAATGGAAAACTAAAAAAAAATGTTATCAAACAACCCATTGGAAACCTAGTCAATAAACTCAATATTCAAAATTTAGGAACCTATCAAACACAATTCTAAAAGCTGGAAAACTAAAATTGCAATTTAACCTTTATTTAAATAGAAAAGAAATAAATTTATACCCCTAAACATACGCAGGTGATTTTCTTTGTTTACAAGGATAAAAAAAACTAGTTAGGTGCTGTTTTCAATCATTTTACCCTCGAAAACAGTATTTTAAGCTTAGTTTAGTGTCTAAAACCTTTCATTCGGAGTTATCTTGGGTTATAAATGCATTTATAGCATTTTTATATTATCTAAATTTCATTTCTAACAGAAATTATCATGTTGTGCAGGGAAATTTTAAGCTAGGCGCCTGACACCTTGCCTAATACTGAGATTGCCTTTAATGTTAAACGCGAGTTTTGGTGTGTTTAAAAGCTTCTCACAACCCTTCCACATGTTTTCCATGCAATGATAAAAGGCAAATTCAATAACCAACTAAGCTAAAGAGGTCGTGAAGGGATGACTACCCACGAAAGGCTTAACTTCCTAACCGACTTGGAGTTCCCTATAAATTCAGCAACCTTCTACACTTAATTCATCATCCAAGTGATCATTTTCAAGCTTTAGTCACTTTACTATCAGTCTTTATTTTTCAGCTTGTTACTCTTCAATGGTAAGTTTTGAATTCCTTCCAAAGTATTCCAAAGTAATTCTAGCAAGTTTATTGTTTTTACATCTCCATCCTTATTTTCTACAAAGTTTGTAATCACACAATTTTGTGAAATCGACTTAGATCGGTATGACAACTCTAGAGGGGGTGAATAGGGTTTAATCACAATTTATAAACTTTTTAACACGGTGGGCCAATTCAAACAATGATGTAAACTTTTTATGAATAAATAATATTAACACAAATTATTCAATAAAGTAGACATATATTTCAAGCATTCTAATTAGTTCTAATATAAAGATTCACAATAAACATGAAGAATAAATTATAGCAATTAATTCATGCAACAAATAAAAATATAAAATTAATTGTATAAATTAAATAAACGAGGATTAGAAAAAATGAACACCGGAAATTTATAGTGGTTCGGCAACACCGACCTACCCCACTTCCCAAGCTTCTCTTGGGTGTTCAATTGAAGAACTTGACTCTTTCCATCAATTAAAGTCCAACCGATACAATGTTCTTTTTCTGGGAGAAAGAACAAACCTGATTCTTTCAACATATAAGAATCAAACTGTTACAACACTCGTTTTTCAGACTCAATAACAACCCTTACAATAGAATTGTAAGAAACTCACAAAATTTGTAAGAAAAATTCTTACAGGTAAAAAGCCCTCAATTGACTATAAGAAAATAAAATTGGAAGAACAATTATCTTTCAAAATAAAATCTCTCAATAAATTAGAACAAAAAAATTGAAGCTTTTGGAGAGATGAACATAGAGAAATTGGAGAAAATTGATTGTGAAATTTTAAGAGAATGAAGGGTTTAAATAGAGGATGAAAAATTGGAAAGAAATTTCAAATCCAAATTAGATTCGGGCAATTAGATCTTTAAATGATTAAGATCAAAATGAGATTTTAATTGAACACAATAATAATAAAATTGTCATAAAAAAATATAATATAATATGTGTGTCTAACGATGATTTTTTATTTTATTTTTTTAATCTCATGTCAGGCTTAAGAGCCTGAGGATTTGATATATACTTTTTTTCTTTTTTTTTTCAAGTTATTAGACAGTAACTTTTCACTTTTTTTTTTTCACTTTCTTTTTCTTTTCTTTATTTCTTTTCATTTTTTCTTCTTATTTTTTTTTTCTTTTCAATTTTTCCTTCCAACTTATTTCGACCATAATTTCTTCGTCTAAGCTTTGAATTGGGTGATTCAAGATCCGTTGAATTGTTGTAATGAGCTCTACGTTGTTCACACTTTAAAACACTAAAACTCGTTGTTAAACAAAATATGTATTATCAATAAATCATATAATATTATTGAATCTCATAATAAATTTATGTTTTACAATAATTCTTACACACCAAAAATAATTAATATTAAGTGTGTTTGCTATCATCAAAATATTAATTAATTAAATTAATTAACCGAGATTAAGGCAAAAAAAACCAACAATCTCCCCATTTTTTATGATGACAAACCACGCAAGAAAAATGTAATCAAAGTAGTGTGTGTGAGATAACATGAAACACAATCAAAACAAGCATAAATTTAAATTTAATTGTAACACAATTTCTCACAAGATTATTCATTTTCTTTTTAGCTCTCCCCTTTTGGAATCAATAAAAAATAATAATTAAGAAAAATAAATAAATAAACATGAAAGCTCCCTTTTTCAAGCAATTTAACACTTCCATTTAAATAAGGGACAAAAAGACAATTAGCACAAGTTTTTATAAAACTCCCCCTATCAAAGATGCCTAAGCAAAAATTAACAAGTAAATCAAGAGACATAAATTATAAGAAATTATAAAGTAAATTTTAATTTCATATATAACTACTCCCCTAAATAAATAAACAATATATATAAAAGGGGTAAAGTTTTATCATACCCTCTCAGAAAAGAGGAAGATTGTTGGTTTTTTTTATGATCACAAACACACTTATGCTTTTTAATCACCATTTTCAAAACCCATGTTTTCTAAGTGTTTGCTGACATCACCCAATTGCCAATTTACTCTCACTACCTCACTCATTTTTTAGATTTCTCTCTTATTCCCTCTCTCTATCTCCATCATTGTTTTTCGAGAATCCCTCCCTCTATTTCCCTCTCTCTCTCTTTCCAGTATTTTTTTCTTCTCTCATTTTCCATTAACCTATTATTTCTCTCTTCTGCCATGGTTTTTTTTTCTCTCATTCTCTCTAAAATTTTCTTGGGTTTCTCATTCCCTTCTTCTTTACTCTAAAAAAAACCTTAAATCTCTTACCCTTCTCTCTTTTTTTCTTTTCTTTTTAACCATCAGCCTCCATGATTCTAGTGACCTTCAGCAATCACCAGCGACGAGTGCATCAAAATCGACGAGGAAGGTCGTTTGTCGAAGAAGGAAGCTCAGGGAAGGAGAAAGTTCGGCCTAACCATGGGGATAGGGACGGGGAAGGAGATAAAGAGAGAAAGTTGAGTGAGAGAAAGAGAGAAAGAGAAAAAGTTGAGGGAGTGAGAGAAAGTTGAGATAAAATGTTATCTAAATAATAATAATAATAATAATAAAATTTAGTTAATTTAAATGAAATCATAATCAGATTAAATAGATCATAACTAAATAAATAAATTTCGAAATAGTTTGGTCTATATGCCTAGTACAGTGGTTGTATGCCTGCTATATCCTTTGCAAAAAAAAAAACAGTTTAGTCAAATTCAAATTTAAAATGAATTAATAAATAATTAGAGACTAAAGATTCTTTTAATTAAA